AAGTCAGCCCTGTTGCTATTTGGGCTTAGCCTATCTTGGGTGACTTCATTGTTAAACTGTTTCTAGAGGACGAGGAGTGTTACTCTTGTGCAACAAAAGTCATATCAGCATTGCAACATTTTAAAGACTGGCAATGCTTTTATCATCAAAACTTCATAGGATATATGGAACATCACTCTGTGAGAGGCAGGGCTACACACATAACATACAGCAGCTGTTATTGGAGAGGAAGAAAGTACAGTGAGAATAAGTAAGAATCTCTTCCGTGACCAGAGACATTCTGGTCCACTCACCCTTAATCTAAGAAAAGGAAGCCCAGGGCTATAGGAAGGGGCAAGGATCCATTAAGAGCCCATGTGGACTGGTGGAATAGAAATGAATCCTTAATAGAGGGCCATGCTGATTTGGCTATTGAGAAGATATGAGGGTGACCTAGGTCTTTTCCTTTTGTGCATCCAAGCACCAATTCTGAATATTTTACTACATTTCTAAGAGATGCTACAGAGGAGTCTTTTTAATTTGTAATTTCCATTTTGAAGTATTTGCTGCTGTCATGCATGATATTTTGATTTGCAACAAGGCTCTCAGAAAAGAGTATTCTGATGTCTTTTTCTATAACAGCCTGAAGGGGAACGGAAAAATATTGTGACTGTTATTGAACTGGACCCAAGCGTAAAAGGAGTTGGTGAGTAACTCTCATTCTTACTCATTAATTCCCATTATACCTTTTACTAAGTCCTTTCACCCACATGCTTTATTGTTTCCAGGAAAAGGAGAGGCTCTTTTTACCATGCCAGTTGCAAATAAAAGTTATTTTATTTTGCAAACGTTATGTGCTTAAGACAATTATATTCCTTTCTGTTAAGTGCTTAATAAAATAATTGTGTTGAATTCCATTTACAAATGATTATTAGAAATAATGTCAAAGAGATATCTGATGTGTAATGTGGTATTTCTTTTCCTGTAATTTTCCTCATTTTATTTTTTATTTTTTAGATGGAACCCAGGAACAAACGGTCATAGCCAATAAATTAGATGACAAGGTGCCTGAAACAGAAATTGAGACCAAGATTTCTGTTCTAGGTAAGAACTAGTTATTTGAAACCCAGGCTCCTACATCTGTTAAATTTAGAAGATGAAATAGTCACCAGCCCAATTTTGTTACCATCTACTGGTGCTGTAGATGGACTCCTTAGAACAATATCTCCCTATTTTTTTTGTCCCTGAATAGATGGAGTATAGATCATAGCCTTCCTTATTGGATTCACAGATACAGTAGATCTGTCCCATTTCTGACATTTAACCTTATTACTTTTGCCCATCTGGTGAAATCAAAGTGGATGACCTTATGCCACCAGACTTGAAATTCTAGACCTAGAAAACCTAGAACTACGCCACCTTCCATTGGATCTAAGTATAGTATATAAAATTATACATTGCAATGTCCTACCTGTCAATGAGTACTTCAGCTTCAACCATAACAATACAAGAGCACACAATAGATACAAACTCAAGGTAAACCACACCAAACTTGATTGCAGGAAATATGACTTCAGCAACAAAGTGGTCAATGTCTGGAATACTCTACCTGACTCTGTGGTTTCTTCCCCAAACCCCAAAAACTTTAAGCTTAGACTGTCTACTACTTGACCTCACCCCTTTCCTAAGAGGTCTGTAGGGGGCGTGCATAAGCGCACCAGCGTGCCTACCGTCCCTGTCCTATTGTTTCTTTTTATTTTTCTTATATGTATCCATTTCATGTATCCATAACTATGTTTATACTTATACCTATTATCTTATAATTGCTTGACAAAATAAATAAAAATAAATAAATAAATAAATAAAATAAATGTCTTCCAAGTCCTGTTGTTTAAACAGCATAATCTTATAGAAAGCTTTTCTTCTTTGCTCAGTGTCTGCCCTCTGGAATGCCATTCTCCCCCAGATCCACACAGGTCCAACTCTAATGACATTGAGAAAGTCCTTTAAAAAATAGGTGGTTTTCCTTGTGGAGTCCCTGCAAAAGTTTGGTTTTCTACTGGTATTGAGTTAGTGCCAGAACTGCCATCACACTGCTTCAACCCTACTTGACTTTGATGGCAGCCTGCCATAAAGTATGGGGGGAGGGAAAGGTGAATGCAGGGAGGGGGTATGACAGGAATCAGAAGTGCCAACCAGAGACACTGGTTGAACCATTCAAGGACACAGGCATAGAGGTAGAATGCGAACACCTATCAAAGAGACACCAAACCTCAGAACTGTTGCCAAAACAACTAATTTAAACTTTATTGGATACTACTAAGATGACCGGGGGTGGGGGTGGGGTAACCACTTGGCTTTAGTAAAAGTATACCTTTCACTGCAAATGAAGTTGAGGGTCTTTCTTTTCTAAATGCTCAATCTAGGACAGGCCTGACAATCTTTTGGTCAGCTGCATCCTTTTCTATATATATCGATTCTTCTTTTTAACTGTAAGCCACCCAGAACTGCTAAAGTATCTTGAAACAGAAATAAATAAATCAGTTAATAAACCTTCAAATTAGTCCTGGATGGATCCTAATTACGCTATGGTCAATGCTCTAAAGAAAGGGTAGTGGAGTTGGAAGCAAGATTAGACTAATCATTTGCCCTAAAGACATTGAAGCTTAAAGCAAGATCACAAACTATCTAATTTCTAACACGTGTGGCAATTTTTTCACATTCAGGTGACCCTGTGGCTCAGATTATTGAAAACTCAATTGATGGAAGTAAACTCAGTCATCTCATTATTACTCCTTCTGGCTCTGGGGAGCAAAATATGATCACCATGACTCCATCGGTCATTGCCACCTATTACTTGGACGCAACAGGGCAGTGGGAGAATCTTGGCGTGGATCGCAGGACTGAAGCTGTCAAACAGATCATGAAAGGTAAGGCAAATTCTCTCCAGACTTGTTTTCCTCAGGGGATGGAGATGTCAGTTTCATTAATCCCTAAAACGAATAAATATAAGACCCACGGAAATCGAGAAGCCAAGTGTTCTTAAATGTATGGTGGGACTCTTTGTTGTTGTTATTATTGTTTTTCTTTCACAAGGTAGCTTTCTGCTCGCTTAGCTAAGGATATCACTTCTTCAGTCTGGAGGGGTAGAGGTGGTCATAGTAACTGCTGAGAAATATTTAAATATGGACTCATGGAATTATCACAATATTCTATAAAAGGAAAGACATTTTCATGTCTTTTGTAGTGAGTTTAGAAGTATTGTTCTGCTATTGAATGCTTGTTTTTCAGGAATACAGGACAGCAGTCTTCAGCTCCTTTTGTTGTTGTTGTTGTTGTTGTTGTTGTTGTTGTTGTTGTTAAGGTTGCTTGCTTTCAGAATCTCATGGCAGAGTGGGATAGTTTTACACTGAGTCAAGAACACAAATCAAAACAATTGTGCAAAGGAAAAACAGCTCCAGTCACACTTGCATACAGAACAGTTTTGCACTCTTCTTTCTCTGCTGTGTGCCTCATTGGAGCTGTTTTTCCTTTGCAC